AGACACCCCAACGAGAGTAACTCTGCCGAAAACCACGGGCACCACCAAATCCACGAAGACAAGCCAGACCATAAGGACAACCCAAGAGACTGGTAACCATCCATCAAGCAGCTGCGGAAGCCTTTCTTGTGGCGTCACTCTTCTTTCCTTTGCTCCTGAGAGCCTCCTCCACAATCGCCTTGCCAGATCCAGGGCTCACCCTCTCCAAACGTTTGAGCAAGTTGTGAAGCTCTATTTCAAAGAGAATCTCATTGAACTTGTCACGCATGTGTTGCCGGCGGGGCTTGCTGAACTGCTTGTGCCAAGCCTGGGGGTGGCTCTCCCGGAGCCGTTGTTCTGTGCTCGCCAGCCTACGCTGTTGATGTGTGCTCCGGATGTCCCTCCTTCCCCTGCTTCCACACCACCCAGGAAGCCGACAGCCCGCCGAAAAACTCTCGCTGGCGTGAAGATCTCCAAGGTGGGTGGCCTCTCCCTGCAGAGGATCAGGCGCCCTGTTGTCCTCGCAGCAACGACGTCGGCGGCACAGGCGGCTGAGCAGTTTATTGGCCGCAGCCTGGGCATCATCAAGAACGGGCAGGACGTCACCACTGCCACCCTGGATGCCTTCGCTGTAAAGTTCAAAGAGCAGGTTCCTCCTGATGTAATTGTGGCCATGAGAGAGTTCTTTGAGCTAGACAATGGGGCTGTTACAGCAGTGGAAGATGCTCTGATCGAGCATGATGGAGCAGGGGTCCTCGACACTGTGGGAGCAGATGTTGCCGCGGGCTCGCTGGATGTGAACGCCTGAGGTTTAGATCTTGTAGTAGCTGTTGCTGGGTGAGTTGTTCCTCATGTTAGTGCAACATCTGTTGTTTTGCAAGGGTCTGTTCCAGTTCAAGGGCAATAGCTCTGTTTGTGGAAGAACTACAACTCTGTACGTGGTTTGTACCAGTTCAAGGGCAATAGCTCATGTTAGTGCAACTATGTACGTGGTTTCGTCCATTTGGCCTTGTGCTAGTCCATGCTTCCATCTTGTTCATGCATGTGTGCGCCCCCATGGGCTTCATCCAAACCTCAGGGCCACCTTACTTTCCAATGACAGTACAACCGATTAACACAATTAGCTGGAATGTGCGGGGGCTTAATTGCCCAGACCGAAGAGCTACTGTTAAAGCAACGCTTGCCGACTCCTCCTGCCAGCTTGTCTGTCTTCAGGAGACTAAGTTGAGTGTTGTCGACAAATTCATCATTGCGTCACTTGGGGGAAACAGACTGGGTGGCTTTGCCCAGCGTCCGGTGAACGGAACTAGGGGCGGTATCCTATTGCTATGGGATGAGAATCTACTTGATGCTTCCGACTTTGTCACCTCTGCAGACTGTATTTCTGCCACGTTCTGTATACGTGCTTCTGGCTCCTGCTTCAAGCTCACTTCGGTCTATGGCCACACTGATTCCTCGTGCAAAGATGCTTTTTTGCGGAGTTGCTCAACCACAAACCACCTACGGATGTGGCTTGGTTGGTTGCCGGGGACTTTAACCAAATTTACCGAGCCAGGGATAAGAACAAGAGGAACGTCAACACGAGCAGAATTAACCGCTTTCGGTCGATGCTTCATTCCTGTGAACTCAAGGAAATCCACCTCCAGAACAGACGCTTCACTTGGAGCAACGAACGCGCCAATCCCACATTGTGCAAGCTTGATTCCTTCTTCTAATGCCGAATGGGACACCACTCACAACAATCACTTGTTACATGCCCTGTCATCTTCCCTCTCTGACCATTGCCCTCTGTTGCTCGCCGATGACAAGGGCCCTAGGCGCCCGCGTACATTCAGATTTGAGAATTTCTGGGTATCTTTGCCCGGATTTCACGAGGTCGTTCTTGATGCTTGGGCGGAGAGGGTGAGTCATTCTGAACCGTACCAGGTCCTCCACCATAAGCTCAAAAAAATAGCGCTCCGCCTTGCTCAGTGGAGCAAGCGTATCTTCTCCAAGGCCAAGGTGCAGCTCCATGCAGCCAACATCATCATCCTCCGCCTGGACATTGCGCAAGAGGAGCGACTGCTATCCCCGGAGGAGCTTGACCTACGCTCTAGGCTTAAGAGGCGCATGATCAGTCTTGCGGTTCTAGAGAGGGCAAGAAAGAGCCAATGCGCTAGGATTGCGAACCTGAAGGATGGGGATGCTAACACAAAATTTTTCCACCGCCGCATCAACGCTAGGACAAGGAAAAATCACATCCATAGGATAAAAAACGCACAAGGCTGGGTCACCGACCATAAGCAAAAAGAGGACATCATCCATAACCACTTTGACGAGGTCATGGGCAGAGCAAGCACGAGCTACGTTGACCTTAATTGGGATGAGCTTAATATCCAGTCGCATGACTTGGATGATCTCGGTGATCCCATCACTGAGGATGAGGTTTTGGCGGCCATAAAAGCAATGCCGGGGGACAAGGCTCCCGGGCCTGATGGCTTCACGGGCATCTTCTTCAAACATTGTTGGGAAATTATTAAGCATGATCTCATGCGGGTCATCCAGAGCTTTGACTCGCTCCACACATCCCACTTGCAATGGCTCAACTCGGCCAATGTGGTGCTTTTGCCCAAGAAGGAGGGGGCGGAGGGAGTCTCTGACTATAGGCCTATTAGTCTTGTCCATGCCATGGCCAAGATTATCGCCAAGATTCTTTCCCTGCGGCTTGCCCCTCACATGGACGTTCTCGTCTCCAATGCCCAAAGTGCTTTCATAAAGAAGAGGAGTATCCATGACAACTTCATGTATGTGCGCAATTTTGCGAGACGGTTGCACAAGCGCAAGACTTCAGCCCTCCTCTTCAATCTTGACATTAGAAAAGCTTTCGACTCGGTCAAATGGGAATACATCCTCGACTTATTACAACGCAAGGGGTTCCCTTGCAAATTCCGTAATTGGATCGCCACTCTACTCTCATCTTCCTCTTCGCGCGTTCTCCTCAATGGGCTTCCGGGCCCCCCGATCAAGCACGGCCGCGGATTTCGTCAAGGGGACCCAATTTCACCTCTACTGTTCGTCCTTGCAATTGACCCCCTTCAACATATCCTCGACATCGCAACTCACAAGGGCATCATCCATAGGATCCGCGGCCGCGGCATCATGATGAGAACCTCCCTCTATGCGGACGACGCGGCCATCTTCATGGCCCCAATCAAGCAGGACATTGATAACCTCTCAGTCATCCTAAGGGGTTTCGGCGAGGTGACGGGACTCTGCACCAACTTCCGCAAGAGCTCGGTTGTGCCCATTCGATGCAGCCACCTTCCTCTGGAGCATATTCTGAGTAGCATTCCGGCGACCCGCGCCGCTTTCCCAATCAAATATTTGGGCCTCCCGCTCTCAGTACGACAACTTCGGAAGGTCGACTTCCAGTATCTTGAAGACAAGGCGGCCGGAAAATTAGTAACTTGGGAGGGACAAAGCATCACAACTATTGGGCGCACTACCCTTGTCAGATCGGTCATCACCTCTCAAGCGGTCTTCTCCATCACATCTCTCATCGTGCCACAAGGCACACTTCATAATGTCAACAAGATTGAGAGGGCCTTCCTCTGGTCAGGGTCGGACAAGACGACCGGCGCAAAATGTAAGGTCAATTGGGACATGGTCTGCAGGCCTACGATCTATGGAGGCCTGGGCATCCTCAACACCGACAAGTTTGCTCGGGCCTTGCGACTAAGGTGGCCATGGTACGAATGGAAGGAGCCTACCAAGCTTTGGGTTGGCTTGGGCAACCCGTGCACCGACGAAGATATGGATTTCTTCTATGCCTCCACCACAATCATCGTTGGCAATGGTGCAAAAACACCGTTCTGGGACTCCCGAGGTTGCTTGGCCGCAAGCCCAAGGATATTGCCCCTCTTATTTTTCAAGCCTCAAAAAGGAAGAGATCGACGCTTCGCCAGGCCCTGCGAGGGAACGCTTGGATGACCCACATCAAGCATGCCACTATTGTCTCCGCCGCACACATCCAGGAACTTTTCTCGCTTTGGGCACTTGTGCATGACTTCCATCTTGACGATCACGTTGAGGACGACATTGTTTGGAAACATGCTGATGATGGGCAGTACTCGGCGTCCACAGCTTATAAGGTGCAATTCCTTGGCCTGACGCACTCGCCCATTCACCACATGGTTTGGAGAGCTTGGGCCCCCCCTAAGGTTAAATTCTTCGCCTGGTTGACCTTGCAAGACCGGAACTGGACTGCCGACCGGTTGGTGCGGCGTGGTTGGGATAACTGTGGGCTTTGCCCTCTTTGCAAACGTGAGCAAGAATCGGGCATCCACCTCTTCGTCAAGTGCCGCTTCTCCATTAGGCTCTGGCGATCGGTCATTGACAAGTTTGGTCTTGTGCACATGGACACCTCCAATTGGCACCTTGAGGATTCCCTCATACAATGATGGGATAAAAGGACCAACATGTGAAACCCCAATAGACGAGCGATGGCCTCCCTCACCATGCTCGTCTCTTGGACTATTTGGAACGAGAGAAACCCGAGGGTGTTTCGTAACAAGAGCGCGCCGCCGCCTATCCTGCTCCAAAATATCGTGCTTGAGGCAAAATTATGGGTTACGGCAGGTGCTAAGAAACTAGGGTGTTTTGTTGTACGAGAGTAATTGCCATGCCGTGTTGCAAGGGCGCTTGTAAAAACTCTAAACTCTATTCTCCTATTATTTAATGGATGAGGCAAATCTTTTGCCTCCGTTTCGGAAAAAAATAATGAAACATATAAGGGCACAGCGATGAAAACAAACCCAAAAAGGAATGATTTGCCACATCCAGAACCATTTGGCACGAAACTAGATCCATCAAATTCAAGGAGAATATGGAGGCGCACACTAGTTACTCGGGCTTACAAGATGATTGATGTAGCATAAATGCCATCATTATATTAGGCCAAAGACAGGCTTAACTAAGTTCTGCTAGATCATGCATCGAAGGTGAAAGCACCAACAACTTGGACCTTAGCGACTAGCAACGCTTCAGTTCCTTCTCCCACGCGTAGACAGGACAATGCTAGTGAGCGCAGAAGGGCAGCTTGCCTCCAGATGCTTAGACCCCTCCGTCGCCACCACGGCATCAAGGATCGCAGGAGTACTGATGATAAACTCGACACACTTCTCCTTGAGGTGCGGGCAATTGTGCTGCTCTGCCAAAGCCAAAGTAGTCGCCGCCGTGTCGACAGTGATGCCACCGATGAGCTTGCCCTCGCACATAATTTTGAGCCTGTCAATCCCGTACCTGTCAGCCGCCGCAAGCAGATGCTGAGCCATCGTCGCCACGGCCTCCAGCTCCCGGTCAAGTTCAGGAACATTGTCGGTGTAGATAAACTCCAGCAGCGCCCCGAACACGGTTGCCTTCATGTCCTTGATCTCCACGCGCCGGGAGCTCTTCTCCTTCATGTCCCGAAAGAACTCGGCCATGAAGACCGGGGATCTCGCGGCCAGCACGAGCTTGTGCGCGGCGAAGGCCTTGCCGGAGACGAGGAACGTGACGTCTGCTCCCGTCCCGTTCCGCAGGAGCTCCCGGAAGTGCTGGTGCATGTTGGATGCCGGCGCAGGCACCGTCGTTGTCGTATAAGCGAGCTCCTTCAGAATCGTGACGGTGCACTGGACGGTCAAGTAGTCTCCTTGGCGTGAAGTCTGGTCCAACAGAACGGGTCTGTCCACAAGCGAGACTCGAAGCGAACAGTCCTTGGGATGCTTGAACACATGCCACACGGTCTTTTCTTCGTTGCCATTGTGCGGCTGCGGCAGCCTCGGGTGTACCAGGAGACAGCCAAAGCTCGCCCTCACGTTGCAGGTGCTTGCAGTTTTGGTGAGGAACACGAGCTCGACCGGTGCCATCGCTGTCCCAGGGTACCACCGGATTTCGACGTCGTGGCCGTCGACGTTCCAGCTGGTTCTGAGGAACTCACCTTCGCGCATGGTCTTGTACGCCAGGCGGAAACTGTCGACCTTGAGCAGCTTCACGGCACGCACGGCGCCGGTGAGGACCGTGCAGGTGGTCGCCATGGGAAACGTGGATCTTGAACAGCCGCGCGGACAGAGCCGGTGTGCAGCGTGCTGGCTGGAGAGGAGCGATGGACTGGAGCACTGCGAAATTTATAGCGAGGCGCAGGGGCGGAGTCAGGATTTAGGCATAGGAGGGGCGAGACAACAATGAAGGCGAAAAATATTTTATCTCACAAACTACATAAGAGTTTTAATCCCGATATTACTTGCTGTCGGTGCAGGTCTAGCTATAGCTTATAGTATTGAACAACTCCACGTGCACGCCATGTAGATGAAGTTGGTAATCATATTATTCTGAAATACAGCATAAAGTACGTTGGTACGGAACATTATCATCATATGTATGTTTACAAACATGACCGATCATTGTCTAACTAAATAGCAGGATTTAGCTTGCATTCATATAGTTTTGCATGGAAAATCAATCGACAACGGACATACTTAAGCATATAGAACCAATATGTGTTGTATTTGAAAAAAAAGTGACCAAGTTGCAAGAATGCATACCTAGCTAGAGTATGGAATTAAGGCCCAGCTCGTCCCATCTGCTCGTCATAACGGATGATCGTTGTTTCCGTAGACCACAGGCATGTGGTAACCATCGATGGTCAACGTTGCTCGACGAAGCATGGAAGGATTCGCGCTTCCGAAAGATAGTGTGCGCCTATTCCCTAGCATGGCGATGATGGCCGACGTCAACGCTTGATTAAGCCCTAGCCTGTCGTGGGCGGCGGCGGCGGCGACAAGAGATCAGTTGGAGCGTGGTTAGGTCAAACGACATAGAATGGAAACGAACGGCTGTACGTGTAGATGCCTGTATTACATATGGTCTTCGATCAATCGCGTGAATCACGTGATTGGATTGATGCGTCTAATTCACTCAGGGAACCATTTGTTTTGGGCTTGGGCCAGCCAACAATGTTGGGACGCACAGAGAAAAGGCCTATACTTTGCTAATGGGTGAGGTACTAAGTAACAATTACACAGAAGATTAGTATTAGCCCCCGCTAAAAATCCATGGGGGTGGCCGATCCATAGGGGGGGGGTCTGGCCCCCGCCCGCCCCCCTACTGGCTCCGCCCCTGGCGAGGCGGCGACTCCTCGATCAGGCACCGCTTCCAAGGATGTGATGCGTCGCTTTGACAATGATCTTGGTGCGCCTCGCCTGGCCTCGGTGACGTTTCAATCGCGTGCGCTGCGGCACAAGTAGCGAAGGGGAAGAGAAAAGCATATCTACCATGCATGGGATATCCCGTGCATGTGCTGGCCGTTTATTTTGTTGGAGATTCATTTTCATGCATGCATACTTTATTATTATTGCTCAATCCATCTGCCGTATTCCATCAATGTGGTCATACTAATCAGTCACTCACAATAAAAAAAAGTCGTTGATGGTTGCATAATATTTCATAATCCTTTTTGGGGTTAATAGTTTCATAATGTTTATCATGTTTGAAGACTTAAATTTCAAATCTTGTCAAAATATATTCAAGAATGTTTTTGTTTCAAAGGCCACGTCACCAGAAACATTATTGAACTTTTCCCATGGAATTAGCAAATTTTGACGAAACAAGTTTGAAGCCCAGCGATTTAGTTGTTAAAAAAAATTATTTCAAAAAACATATCAATATTAGTCTTGTTTTAAAAATCTTGCCCAAAAAAACACATTTGTGTAAACAGAAAGTAAAACAAATTTTTATTTCAAAATGTACTAGGCATCTATTTGTTTGAATGAAACTTAATGACTAGAGAATAACACATGTCAATGGGCCCACAAAAAAATATAAAAAAAATGTGCATGCATGCATGCATGCACTGGAGGTCCCGTGCATGGTAGAAATTCCACTCTCCGAAGGGGAAGCGCTGAGAGTTATCTCTGCTGAAGTAATGACAGCGAGCGTGCTCTCCACCGTTCACTCGTCCGTCAAGTTTTGATCGAACGGCTGCTGAGAACTGTCGTATGCAAAATCATACAAATTCATCGTGCGTGTAGCAGTTCTCTTCCTCGATTCATCTGTGGAAAGTGGAATAGTGTGGAGTACACTAGCCGTGGACTAAGTATACAGTATTGCCTATGTTTTTCTAGAATAGAAGTTACTTTATTCAGATAAAATGACGCAATAACAGTTTTCCATAATGTAGTACAACCGCTCAGTCCAACAAGCAGCCGTCCACGAGAACCGTCCGCGCCGCAAAGAATTTTGCTGCAGGATGAAGCCACCGTCACCGCCACAAGGACTCCAGCGAGGAATCCTTGTGATGGTCTGTCTTATTAAGGATGATAGACTACTCATACAAAAAGGAATTACTTCTTTTCCGGAAGTTTATTCGGACAAAACTCCAAAGTTAAGCGTGCTCAGCTTGGAGTAGTGTCAGAATAGGTGACCGATCGGGAAATTGCTCCCGGATGCGTACGAGTGAGGACAAAAACGCACAGAAAAGACTAGTATTGATCTATGGGGCCAGTCTAGATCCCGCCAGGAGTAACGACCACCGGCGGGTGTGTCCGGGGCGTTACAAGTTGGTATCAGAGCCGACCTCACGGTTACACGGATGTTTGCGGACAGGTGCGCGGTCATGTTATTCATGACGTTTGTGCCCCGTCGTGGCACCCGACATGGCACATATACCGGACTGGATGCACAGATGACAAAAGTGCGCAGAAAAGACTAGTATTGATCTATGGGGCCAGTCTAGATCCCGCCAGGAGTAACGACCACCGGCGGGTGTGCCCGAGGCGTTACAAGTTGGTACCAGAGCCGACCCTCGCGGTTACACGGATGTTTGCGGACAGGCGCACATTCATGTTGTTCATAACGTTTGTGACCCGTCGTGACACCCGGCATGGCACACCGGACTGGATGCATAGACGTATGTGCCAAGAGGGAACGTTCCTGTGGCCCTACAAGGACGTCGGTTCCTCTGAGTGGGGGTGTATGTGATGGCCTGGCTTATTAGGGATGATAGACTACACATATCAATAAGGAATTCCTTCTTTTCTGGGAGCCCATTCGAACAGAACTCCAAAGTTAAGCATGCTCAGAGCATCTCCAACAGCCGCGCCAAAAGACGCGCGCGCGGTAATTGGCTTTATAGCGCGCGCAGAACGTTTACGCGCGCTCCAGCGGTGGCGCGAAACTAGCGCGCGCGGGAAATGATTGCGGGCGCGCGGGAAAAGGCGGCCGCTCGCGCGCTACATTTGGCGCGCCGCGTCCGGCGCGCCTATAAATTGCAGCGCCTCCGCCGCTCTCTCCACCGCCCTTTACCGCTCTCTCCGTCTCTCTATCGCCCCCTGCCGCGCTCTGCCGCCGACACGCCACCACCGCGCCACGATGCCGCCTCGGCGCCGGGGAGGTATGGGCTACCGCGGCGTCCGCGTGTGTCCGTCTGGCACCTACTCCGCCGAGATTCGGTCGGGCGGCGGCATGCGGCTCCGTCTCGGAACTTTCGACACCGCCCAGGAGGGCGCCCGCGCGTACGACGCTGCGGCGTGGCGCCTCCTGCGGTCCCGTCAGGACATGAACTTCGCCGATGTGGCGACGCGGGAGCGCGCACAGGAGTTGGCGCCTTTCCCGCGGCTTCTCACTGACGAGGATCATCGCAAGCATCGAAGGCGGGAGCATCGTCTCAGGCTGCCCGAGATGGATGAGCAAGCCATGGCGCTGTGGAGTCATCGCTTCCCGGAAGACATCAACGAGGAACAGTTCTTCGCCCAGAGGAGGGAGAGGAGGGCGAAGAGGAGAGAGGAGCGAGCTGACTATCGTGAGGACAAGCGAATGCGGAAGGCGGTCGCTAAATACAACCAAGCGCTAGGAGATGCGTCCCCCTGGAACTCCGGCGACGAGCAGTTCCTTGACGCCTACGCTCCGACGTCGGAGGAGGACATCACGGAGACAAAGTCCGAGTCGGACGAGTAGTAGTAGGAGAACTATCTATGAAACCAAATATGTAGTAGGAGAACTATCTAAGAAACCAAATATGTAGTAGAAAAAACTGAAATATAGCGCGCCTGCTGGAGCGGCGTGGGCGCGCTTTAATTTGCGGCGGCCGCTGGAGCCAGCGCACCGCTGCGCGCAAAAGCTGGCTAACCCAGCGCTGTATCACGACTTTTAGCGCGCGCGCGTTGCGCGGCTGTTGGAGATACTCTCAGCTTGGAGTAGTATCAGGATGGGTGACCGACCGAAAAGTTGCTCCCGGGTGCACATGAATGAGGACAAAAGTGCGCAGAAAAGACTAGTATTGACCTATTGGGCCAGTCTAGATCCCGCCAGGAGTAACGACCACCGGCCGATGTGTCTGGGCGTTACAATCCTCCATGAGGTTTTCAAAGTTCGAACCAATGTACTACTCATGTAGTACTAGAATTCGCTACCCCACTAATCATCTGGACCGGCCTTTTGTTGTGTAATACAGATGTACGATTAAAATGCACAAAACCCATCACGATTGCGTCACAATTAGCAAAAAACACTACTTTACAAAACGCTGCATTTTGCACCGCACCAAAAATCTAATATTGGCAAAAAAACACTAACCTTTTTAGCATGTTTTGATGTGGCCAATCATCCACGTGGCGAGAGGGGAGATGGCGCACGTGTAAGGGCCGTCGATGGCCGGTCCGACCGCGCCGGTCGGAACGTTCCGGTAGAGAGAAACAGTCCAACTCTCCCTCACTCCTCTCTCGCGCTCCCTCTCCTCTCTCCAACTTTGTGCTGCTGCCGACGACGCCAGTCACCTTCGTCGTCGGGCCGCAATGCATTCCCAGAAAGATGGAGAGGAGAGCAGCGATGATGACATGGTGCAGTTCGACTCTGATGTAAGCATCTAATGTACTCTGTCTGGTAGGCTAGGGTTAGGTTGTTGGTAGGATTTGGGGATTTTCTATTCGTGGTGATTTGGACCTGAACCAGTACATTTGGCCACTCCCAATTCCTTTTGAACTCAATGTAGCCCCTTATAACCATAGGTGACTCGGACTTTAAAGATGATGTGGAAACAGAGGAGGACCATGTTCTTTGCTACCACTGAAAAATTGCCAAGAAATTATTAGCATTTT